GTCTTCCGCCACATCCGCTCAGCTTTTCTGCATTGTCTTTTCATACTCTGAACTGCTGTTGATTTTCTCCAAGCTAATTTCTGTCTGCCAGACTTCTTACTGACTTTAATAGGAGCAATATCATCAATAACATTCTTAACTTTTGAGTTAAAGGAATCAAGGAGAAGATCAACAGAGTCTGCACTGCGTGGTGTTATCAGTGTCCTTGTGGGATGTGTCAACCACATGATGACTCGGAAGCTGATATGAAGTCCTGTCGTCACTCATACTCTGTCCAGGTGTGTGTGCGCCATTCAGGTCGAGTAGTTTGGCACACGATACTGAAGGATGACGGATGGAGAAGTAGATGTTGTCCTTTAGCACTCTTGCACCAAGTTTGTTTAGGTGGAGGCCATCCAGTTTAAACAGTTGTCTATGGCCCCAGAAAAGATTGAAGTTATCGATGAAATTGACTCCTTTTAAGCTGCAGATTAATGGGACTCACCGGCTGTATGCTGAGGGGGTCCGTGATGACGGACTGCTGAGTGTTCTGCCTGTTTTGGAATTCCAGCAAGTAACTTTGTTTCAACAACCGCAATCCTTTGTAGAAGTTTATGGCAGTTTATGCAGCAAGTAGATTCAACAGGAGGCATTTTCTTTCTCTTCTGTTTGAATGTAGACAGCTGTGTTTTCCAGTCTCTGGAATGTAAGCTGCTGGCAGTGGGAGGCAAAGTCTTATTTTTCGTGGTATTATTCCAGTCCCAAAGAGTTTTTAGTTTTAGTGTTTGTGCCAAAAATGTGTTGTTTGAGCACTGTGCTGATCTGCTGAAGTAAAAATCTTAGAAAAATCCGAGAAAAGTACTGAAATAGGAAGCAAAGCCCAGAGCAGTAAGCAAGAACGTCCGAACGGTAGCGAAGCCGGAAGCTATATGTATATTACATATAGTATTACATATTCATTAAATCACATATATCACATATTCATATACATGTATTACATATTCATTATATTTTTACTTAACCTGTTGTCTTCATTTTTTATGTATTTTTGAATAAATCTGTCATGAAAACAAGTTTGTTTATAAGTTTAATGTTACTGTTTATATTTCAGCAAAAAAGAAAATAGAAACAAAATTCTGGTATTAAAAAGTTGACATAAAAACTCCCTTATCTACAATTTAAATGTTTGTACAACTTTTTATTTGAGTGTTTATTATAAAATACATTTAATAAATGTATTGATTTTTAAATAATGATTATTTTCGGTTTCAGCTAAATTAAATCTTTAATTTCGGTTTCAGTGTTTCTGTAAAGAAGTTCATCGCTAATTACTATTTCCTGAACACCCTTATAAGAGCATTGTTTTTCTGTTTCTAGGAGCGTGATGGAGAAATCCTTCCTGGAGTACTATGATTTCTATGAGGGGGTTTGCAAAGAACGTCTGCATCTCCAAGGGCAGAACATGCAGGTAATGACTGTTTGCAAATGTTGCTACAAGTCACATTGCGTCTTATGATATGTCATTTTGATTGTCATCAGAACATTAGAAATATAACCTTATGCAAACATTTAGCATTGTAGCATTACAAACATTCCTATTCTCTGCGGTGAGTCATTCACGTCAGCATTTACAGAAGACCAGCAGGAACAAAGAATCTAACATACTACCACACCTCCTTGTAAAGAGTTTAGCTGAATCACTCAGCGCAGCTTCTATTCGCCAGCAGCCATTTCTGTGGGATTTCCAGAGTTGTTATTGTCCTCAAGTCACGCTATGAATCAGCATTCAGGCATTTTGTAGTCGTGTCGCACATAGTTAAGTGGAACTGTTGTTCAAACTGTGATTGAATTTGATTGTATTTGTGTGATTTTTTTTTTTTTTCTTCTTTATCTATAGTGTTATGATTTTGTATTGTAACTATTGATATACTATTGATTATAGAGAGGGTTTAAAGAATTCTCTTATGCTCTAATGCCTTTTTTTCACCCAGACTGCACTTATTTAAAAATGCAGTAAAAACTGAAATATTATTACAAATTAAAACAACTTTTTTCTATTTAAATATATTAAAATGTAATTTATTTCTGTGAAGACAAAGCTGAATTTTCCATAGACATTACTCCAGTCTTCAGTGTCACATGGTCCTTCAGAAAATCAATCTAATATGCTGATTTGGTGCCCAAGAAACATTTCTTATTATTACCAATGTCAAAAACAGTTATTTTTGTGAAAACGGGTAAATTTTTTCAGGATTCTTTGAATAAAAAAACTTCAAAAGAACAGCTTTTATTTGACATAGCTCAGTGGGTTGCACTGTCGCCTCGTAGCAAGAAGGTCACTGGTTCAAGGACACCTTTCTGTTTGGAGTTTGCATGTTCATGTTGCATGTGTCTGCATGGTGCTCCGGTTTCCCCCACAATTCAAAGACATGCAGTATAGGTGAATTGGACAAAGTAAATTGGCTGTGTGTGTGTGTGTGTGTGTGTGTGTCCCATCACTGGGGTTACACGAGTTGGTGCACTCTCAGTGCTGGGTTGCAGCAGGAAGGGCATCCAGCGTAAAACATGTGCCAAATCGGCTGTGCAGATCACTCTGCTGTGGCGACCCCTGATAAAGGGAGAAAGCCAAAAGAGAGAGAGATTCTTGCTGATTTAAAGTATTTATTTCTTTCAAAGGAAAAAAATTACTGACCCCAAACCTTTGAATGGTAGCATATATATTATATAATAATAAATAGGACTGTTTTCTGTAATCCAAAAATATTTTTAATCTGTTTTGGTACTTGGTATCTTAGTTTGGTTTAATATCCTAAATTACTTCTTTTTTTGTTCTCCATCAAATTTATATATTTTTCTTGCAGGATCCTTTTGGTGAGAAGAGAGGTCGTTTTGACTACCAGGGTCTTTTGACCCGTCTCAGAGCCATTCAGAGGCGATTGCGGGAAAAGTGCCCGCCCGAGAACAACGATGGCGACTCTGACTCGGACACCAGCTCTTCCGGCACCGATCCGGACAGTCAGGGCAGCTCACAGCCTTAGAGTGCCCTCTAGGGGTGCGAAGCGAGCAAGGTTAGATCGTTTCCCTTTACCTGCAGCTCCGGACTCCTCTCAAGTGATGCAAGGAGAGCTGAAAAAACCTGGAGATTCTACTGACAGAGGACAGAGTTTCTCTTCCAATTGGATAATATTTTTCCTCTCACTCCTTGTGTGCTGGCCAGTGACAGCCTTTTGTTTTGCGGTTTTTTTTTGTTTTTTTTTTCTCCTAATGAAGGAGTCAATGGAGGAATGAGGTGTATAGATGTGTGTGCGCGTGTGTACATTTGTACGTGATAAAGATGTATACGTCGGTCATCACAGCCTCAACCTTTTGAGTCCATGTTAGTTTGTCCCTTCCTGCATCCAGTGTAGAGCTAACAGAAAAAAGAAGTCATACGAAGTCAAATAATTAATGATGATAATAAAATCACTCTTCGGTTTACTTGCGCATTTCACACTTAGTTTGTGAGTTTCCTGGTCTTTTTGTTCCTCTCATGAAATTTTATTTCACTCATTTAAAAATGAATATGATGACAAATTGAGATACAAATTCGTAATTAAATGCATACCACACTAAGAGCAAGACAAATGGATGTAACTAAAAAAATGTATATATAATTATTCATAGAGAACTTTTATTTTAATGTTCAGTGTTCTTAAAATGCTATTGAACTGGTGAAAGTGTCAGCAGCCTGCCAAGCGCTTAAGGGAACGGTTGCCTTTTGAGTGTCGTCGACTTGAAATACAGTTTCGTTCGGTGAGCTTCAATCTGTCTCTAATTATGAAGCTGTTGAGTGTCAAATGAGACATCTGTTCTGTTGTTGTTCTGGGAATAACCTTGAATTTTCAACAAGACAGAAACTTACTTTTACTCGCTTTTCTTTGTTATTTCACTCATAATGCTTAGATGGCAATTCCAGTCCAGCCTCCACTCATAGTGTCCCTCGATACTGCTACAAATATTGTTCTCTTTACCGGGGATACTGTGGTCACTGGTGTCCTCATATGCAACAGGACGAAGCTGCGTAATACAGACTGGGGGAAAAGGAATGGGATAATATTCAACCGTTACTTGACACTGGTTCATGACTATCTATGCTCCTAAATGTTTTGCAAAAATCTATTGCAATCCATCCCTTTAAATAGCAGGCATATTGTTTTTCACAGCATGCTTTAGCAACAACCAAACTGGCAGCCTTTAGTATTTTGTATACATGTACAATTATAATGCATTTTATTCATGAACAAGCAGATTACATAGTCTTCTATTAAGTGAACCACAAAACAACTACTTTAACAAAGTTTTACATTCTCCGATGGGCCCAAGTACAGTTCTGAGGTTTTTGCATGTGCTAGCATTTTGATGCAGTTGATTTCTCTTAAGTGAGAGAGAATATATTCTGGTCTAGGACATCATATTTTGATAAGACTTGCTTGATTGACTCTTAAGTCTATGTTTCTCTTCTAGAACGCCTTGCAACAGGAAACAGTTCCCTGACTATGAGTTTGACTTTGTGATGTACTAATGCTTTTCCCTTGTTAGCAAAATGAGAATGAATTATGTAAATAATTAATGTATCGATCAATTGCAACTGTAAGAAGAAAGCATATATAAACCTGGTTCTGATTACTTGTGCCTCTTTGATTTCATTCGTTCCCTCAACTTACTTTTTTAATCAGATTTGCAGGGCCAGTTGCAGTTATTGTCATATTGCACTCATAATGTGATTCATTTAAGTTCACATTTTTAGTTTTTTTTTATCGTTTATTTATTTCTATAAGCTAAGTCCCTATAGATAATTTTGTAACATCTGCCTTTTGTTGTTTCAAATGATAATCAAACTAGTTATTTTATTTTTTATTTTATTTTATTTAAATTTTATTTTTTTCTTGCAGTGCTTATAAACAGGGTTTTAATATTAAGAACAGTACACAACCTGCCTGTGCATGCTAATGTGTGAATGCCAGTATATGTATACAAGGGCACAAAAGTAGCAAAAAACTGCCAAGAAACTGTCATACAAAGCTGAAAATACACTCATACCTCATGGGAAACATGTTGCACTGCGATGTCTTTACTTATTAAACATGAGTCTAATGTGTAGATTTGCTGATTTTTTTTTTTTCTTGGAAAGGACTCTGATATTAAATTCATGTACTACCGGTAATTTGACTGCTGCGCATGAATCCATATTCAGAGATTTGGCCGGTTAGTGCCAATAAACTACAACTTAAAATGTTAAATTCACTGAACTAAATTGGGCTCCTTGAATTTCAGTAACATTAAACTGACTTTAAAAATTAAGTTGAATCTAGTATAACTTATAAAAAAAAAAGTTGAAATTGCTTAAATAATATTTATGAGTTAAAGTAACTTAAAAACATAAGCTGTCATGGCCTTTTCATCATATCATTTTTTACAGTGCACCCCCCTTTTTCTTATTACAGGAATACAGGTGGTGTGCATGAAGGGTACTCTGTTGAATTACCAGAATTATACTCTGCAAAATTCATGCCTCAAGCCTGCAACAGCAGGTCACCTAGTTAGCTGCTAGTTTGGGCTTGTTTTTGGTCATGTTACACTACACACTGACTCATATGAAAGTGAGTGACATGCATTAAGTTGTCATGGCTTTTTCATCATATCATTTTTTACAGTGTACAGTTCATATATTTGTAAAACATTTTGGACGTGACTGATTTGGACCCTTTTAATTTAAATGTTAAATTAGATCAACACATTAGATCAACATTAAAAAAAAAAAAAGTTACATTTTAGTTTCAGGGCACAAAAATATTCCTCGTGTTATTTTCAGCTCTCATTGATCTGACAATCGAACCATAATAAAAAATATACATTTATCCCTGAAATGAGCTCTTTTAATAATGGAATGTAGTCCCTGTGTGTATAACGCTTGTGGTAGGGACACTGCTCTGTCGTTAGGGGGCAGTAGTGTGTAGCTTTTGTCGCCACAGACCTTGAGTCAACTATCACAATGAAAAAAAAAACACGTTAATCTGTGAAAGACTGGAATTAAACTACCAAAGTTCTGAACTGTTGATGATTTTTAAATTGATAGATGTGCTTATAGAGGCCATTTCTGTTTGTAAACCTTGTAGAATAGTTATATGAATGAGACCATTAAAAATGTTGGCTACAAAACTGTCACTGGGGTGGTAATATGCACTTTTAAAGTACTAATATGTACCTGTAGGGGTAAATAAGGTACAAAAATGTACTTTTTAGCTGTTTGTAAAAAGTAACAGCTTTGTATCTTTTTTTTCTGAGAGTGTAAGGTCATTAACAATCTGTTTGACAAAGAATGAATCTGTCTTGGTGGAAATGTTCAGCTCTAGAACTAAAACATCTTCATGTAACATCCCCAAACTAAATACTTAAAATCTCTTATGAATAACAGTGACAACAAAATTACTAACAAACACTGATAATCACAACAGAACAAGGTAGATTACATTAGAGATTACACTTTTTAATTTACTTAACCTTTACTTTTTTTTTCTGTGCCCTCCTTGGTCAAACCTGTTCTGGAATGTGAAATAATTTTTTTGAAACAAAGTTTTAGGTGAAGCAGTTAAATTCTTCTCAAACATGAATCTTAAAAGCAGTGTTGGGGAAAGTTACTTTTAAAAGTAATGCATTACAATGTTGCGTTACTCCATAAAAAAGTAACTAATTACGTTACTTAGTTACTTTTTATGGAAAGTAATGCGTTACGTTACTTTTGCATTACTTTTTAAATCTGGACAGGGCTTGCTTGTTTGTTTTTAAAATATAAAAGTTATATTTTTGGAAAATATAAAAGCCTTTTCACACCAAAAGTGAAATGAATAAGCCTCAGGCTGAAGGGAAAGTACATTTACGTCTGTACAGTAGAATGCAGAAGAAGAAATTTCAACACACTTCAGCAATAAACAAAACACACAAATGTTTGTCTAGAGACATTTGTGCTTATTAGTACGGTTGAACTGGATCATCGAAGGTCAGAAGCAAAGACATTGCTTAATAGAATGGGATTAAATACATAAAGGATATTTGTGTTGTTTAATATTTAATTATTTCTCATATTGTACTTGTAATGCGTTACCCCCAACACTGCTTAAAAGTGCACATAACTGAACACAGGAAAGGTTTTTGTAGTAATGGTGATAGAGCAAATCCGTGAAGAATTGTAGCTCTTCTTTGAAGTAACTGCCATTGTAGCCTACTTTAATTTTTTTTATTATAGGCTAGGGATCACCTGGTAAATGCTAAAGGAATATTAGTTCTAAAATTATCTTTGAAAACAGAAACGCATTGTCTTTACAAGATTCGGTTATCAGAACGCATGGACCTTCAGCCTTTCGAATATTCGTTCGAATTCAGTTTTAAATTCGTTTCTCTTCAAAAGGATAGCCACATATGCTTTCATTATGCCGTCACAACATTTATTCTGTATGATAGCTTTCGTCTACATACATCATAAATGCAGTGGAGCGTCTTTGTCTTTGATTTTGTCACATGACTGCCTTATGAATAGTGACTCGCTTGTGCAGGATTTCTTTCACGACTATAGCACAACTATGACAACATTTGAATTTCAGGGGCGGGGCGGTGAGAGTTGACGTTTCGTGACGTCACTGTATCCACCCTGCGTAAATGTAAGCCATCAGAAATCTAACCAAACTAACCAACAGGCTACACACGGCAAGACCGTGCAGGTGCAGCGTGAAACAAAAGTTGAACATGACAACGAAAGTCATCGCAAATGGGAAAGGAACCGAAGAAACCACGACTTTATGACTAATTTAAGGCATCAACAGCTTAAGTTCCGTTTAGAAGTAAGTTATCAGAGGAAGACATGAGGAAAGGTTAGATGTTGAACAGAGGAAAGTCGTGTCTTCATGGTCTTTTTATGCTAAGAATTGGGCATGTAATTCATTGTGCGATATGAAGGCGATTTCTAAACTACAAAATTGATATTGCTCTGAAAACGGCCCATTCTGAACACACTGAAAAAAAGGAAAAGCAGTGTTACTGAATTTACTAAAACAATACACTTACAGTCTACTTAATAAATTTATGTTTGAGATGCAAACATAAATTTATTGCGTAAAGTCTAAATGAAATTCAACACAGTCATCAAAACATGATATAATCACTTTGCAAGAAAATGTTCAAACTGATTCAGATTTCCAACAAATGGTGTTCACGTAAAATTATTTTTTCTGCTGTTTGATTTACTTAAAATGAGCTCATGTCACACAATTACTTTGCATTTTCTTCTCAACTTAATTCCATTGCGTACAATTAATCTAATTCAGTTTTGTGAAGTACGTCTATTAAAATTAAATTTTAGTGAAGTTATCAAAATTATGTTAAGATGACTTGATTTAATTGCACATAATTAACATGATCAAAGCATATATCTAAAATA